TAAATCGGCCATTGAATACTGTCTATGTGACATTATCTGAATTTCCAAAAATCTCACTTTCGTTTTTTCGCCTAATTTCCATGTGGTTGCCACTGTGCTATCGTGTTATATATTTCAGGTATATGTATGGATGAAAAAGATTTACAATGGGGACGAAAAGTACATGATATAATATCTCAATCATCTGATAATAAATTGAAATCAAATGAAAAACTTCAATCAATGCTAATGTCAATGTATATTAAATGTGGTGATGTTGAAGAAGCTGAAAAAATATTTTTACAAATTAAAGATCAAAATAAAAATATAGTCGATTATAATTCGATAATGAAATGTTATAATAATAATAATTTATATGAGAAAACAATTAAATTATATCAAAAGAATGATATTCAACCTGATCATGTTACTTATATTTTAGTTTTACAAGCATGTCGAGATTCACAAATGTTAGGTAAGAAAAAAAACTGAGAAAGTCACTCGTTATTATTAAAATTATTTATTTTTAGAAGATGGAAAATCTGTCCATTTTGATATTAGTCAAGATCCATTATATCGTACACATCGTGAAATTTACAATCTATTACTCGATATGTATCTAAAATTAAATGATTTAAAATCTGCTGAAGAAATATTTATTCAAATGAGAAATCAAAATAATGTAATTAGTTTTACTTCGATGATGAAAGCGTATAATAAAGAAAATTATTTTGATCATACTCTGCAATTATATAAACAAATGATAGTAGACAAAGTAAAACCAGATCATACTGTCTATCAGTATCTTCTACAAGCATGTGCTGATGGAAATTTTCTTGATAAAGGTAATTGACGTTTTATTTACTCTTCATTTCAACGTAAAATACGATGATTCACTACGTTTAATGTAAATCAAAAGCAAAAAGAGATTGAGAATTGAGATTTTCGACAATCGTTAAACGAGACTATGGGACATATTTTTATAATGCAAAGGAATTTTAGAATATTATTTCTAACCAGATTTTTAACGGAATCTTGATAAATCTTGTTTATAAAAGCAAAATTTTAGATAACATTATACTGATTTTTTTACATGTAAATAGATAGTCTAGAGGCTTCTCTTTAGAGTCTGAGAGTCAAGCGAAAGCATTTTTTAGCCATAGTAGCGAGTTTTCCAGAAGCCACCTTGCTTCTCTACCAATGGTATCAACATAGGTTATCGATCATAGTGAATATCGTAACAATGTTTGTTTTTCGAAAAAGAAATTCAAAATCTAATAATAATTTATACTTCGTAGAAGAACCTAGTGTGTATTTTCACGCAAAATTAAAAACTTCATAATTTATTGAAAATCAATTCATACTATTTATAAACTCTATTTATGAAGATAAACTCTATTTTATCTGTGCAATATATTGAAATTTAATAAAAGTTTTCAAAATTAATGAAAAGTACTTTAATCTTGAAAAGATTTTCTAAAAATCTTTTTAGATGAGAAAATGATTTTTACTAGTTTTAAGTACAGAATCACTTTGCACACATAAAATAGACTTTATCTTGATGTACATTGTTACGATAACCTATGTTAATACCAGTGATATGTCAGTGATGGTAAAGCAGTTCTACGCAGAAGTGAGCAAGTCCAATATTTCCAGGTGCAAGTCAAGGCCAAGTTCGCTGGAGCTTAAGCCCAAGTCAAATCCAATGCCAAGTTCGAATCGAAGCTCTTCATAGCAATTTCTGCCTTATAGAATACGTTATAATCTTATATAAACAAATTTTATCCATACATTCGATGCATGTTTGACAAAAAAAAGATTATTAAATTAGATATCAAATTCTATCCATCCCGTTGTTAAATGTGATAGATTTTAACTGCTTGGATTTCAAATGGACTTGATAAAAAAAATCTCTAAGTTCGTCAAAAAAAAATTTCAAATTTGGACTTGGACTTGTCTACTTCTGGTTCTACGGCTGGAAAATTCGCTACTGTGGCTAGACAATGCAACAGCAAGACTTTGCTTGACTCTCATTTTAAAGAGGACACTCTAGGCTATCTATTTACATGTAAAAAGATCAGTATAGTGTTATCTAAAATTTTGCTTTTATAAACAAGACTTACAAAGATTCCGTTGAAAATCTGGTTAGAAATAAAATTCTTAAATGTCTGTGCATTATGAGAAAAATAGTAAGCCGTATGTTGAATTAAAATGGATAATAGTCAGTGTTAGAAACAAGAGAAGTAAAATTAAAGTTATCTTTAAGATCACTATCTTAAATGTATGTACTGGGCAGTTAGAAATATGATCATTTTCCTGGTATTTGGATTAATAAAATGCAACATAAACAATACTTAACCGTATTATATTTGTAATTTTGATAAAATTTTTATTTTTATTAGGTACACTCTTTCATACAGAACTAATACAAAATTATCCAGCTTTTTTGGAACGAATTGAAATTCAAAATTCATTATTGAACATGTATGGAAAATGTAAACAAGTAAAAAAATGTGAACAATTATTTAATCGAATTCCATTAGATAAACGTGATATAATTACCTATTGTACAATGATAACTGTATACGATTTAAATGATCAAGGAAAAAATGCTTTACAATTATTTGAACAAATGAAACGATATTTTTCGCCTACTCATGATGTTTATGTACTCATATTAAATACATGTTTACATCATAAATTTGTTCAAGAAGCAAAACAAATTTTTAACTCCATTACAGATAAGAAACATAAAAATAATGCACAAATTATAACGATTATGGTAAGTGAATAAAAAATTTCGTTTTTAAGATAGTATGTACAATGAAATAGTATGTACAATTATTATTATTTTAGATTGAAATATTTGCTTGTTCTAATCTATGGTTTGATGCTGAATTATTCATTATAAATTATGAATTAGAAAATGGTACTGAAAAACTAGATCATTCAATGTATTGTACATTGTTAAGTATAGCATGTTTGACACATTCTATCGAACAGGCAAGAAATTTATTCAAACGACTAAAATATATGCGCACTTTAACACAACTTGATCTGACTATATATCAGGGACTAATGAAAGATGATGAACGAGCACTTTTAGAAGATGAACGAGATAAAATAAGAAAACAAAAAACGATGTATTAATCATTTTTTTAGTCTATTTTTGCATTGATTTTTGTTTTTTGTTTGATATAATTTTATTTTTTTGTGGGTAGTTTTTGATCATTTTTAAACTTTTTGTATTCTTGTTGCAAATTAGACAATATATTAGAAAACTTATGTTGACTTTTAATATTTTGCAAATAGATTTAGGATGAGGTTAAGAATATATTATTGAATAACCTCATCATATTACTCTTTCAAAATCCAATTTGATAGAAGGAGAATCTTTTGCCAATGATGCATGACACAGAAATATATACTACTGTCAAAATAATACATGAATTTAGCTCGATGGAATTTAAAGGAGAATATTTCTTTGTAGACACTTCTATTTTAAATCGTGTATTCTGTACTATAGCCAAACAATTAGGTTATCTGTTGATAGGAATAGTTAAATATGGAAGCTGGAACTGATGACATTTTACAGAATCCATTTGTTTATTCAATGTAAAAGAAAACAGTTTTTAAGTGTTTTCTTATCAGCATTTTTACTGATATAATAGTTTCTGTATTAATTCTTCTTCCGTTCTCTCACTCTCTCCCTCTAACATTTTTCAGAAGGATTTAAAGTTCACGTACAACGGATTTTGTTTTTTGTCAAAACACGAACGAAGAACGGTTATAATTTATCCTACTTATGAATACCACTATTTTTTTGTAAATCCTCTCAACGATGGCATGACATTAAAGAACTTTAAAGAAAAATGTTCAATACAACAGTTGTAGCCTATACCATTCTGCATGGATAAGTGAAACAATTTTTCTTTTCTAATCCAAAATTTTAATTTAACTCCTCGACCTGAGCAGCTAACTTTGCTATCGTAACAGAATTCCATAACGGTTTTCCATCATTTTGTTTTGCCTATAATTCCTGAACTGGCAGCGATAGACTGTCGTGAGACATCTTAAGTTGAAGAGAAAAGTTTGATTAATATTTTTAGATGTTTTTCAGCCTTACACCATGTATCGTTAGGAAGCTGTAACCCAAACATTGGACAACAGTTTTGTGAAAATTAAATTAAAAAAATTAAAAACTAGTGTCCAATGTTTGGGTTACAGCTTCCTAACGATACATGGTGTAAGGCTGAAAAACGTCTAAAAATATTAATCAAACTTTTCTCTTCAACTTAAGATGTCTCACGACAGTCTATCGCTGCCAGTTCAGGAATT